TGTATTGAAAAAGTAAAAATAAATTAAAATTTGTTAATTCGTTTTACTCTAAATATAACTTGAAAAAAAGATAAATTAATAAAGATGTTATGATGAAATTATGAATATATAATATTAAGGAAGTTTGAAAGTTGAGAGATATAATATTGAAATAGATATATTATGATCATAGTGGATGAATATTAGTTTGTTAGTTCTATCTAAAAACTAACTGGTGCCTTCTAAAATTTAAGGAATAATCAAACTAGAAGTCTTGTACCTATAGGGAAAAACTATAAACTCTTTAAAAGAACTGTTAAGTAGATGTTAATGATAATACCCACAATAACGTCTTCTTGTAGAAATAAACAAGAGCTTTTAATCTGATATAGAAATATCTTAGTAAAAATTATTCTCTATTGTATAAATCATAGTTGAAGTCAAAAAAAAAAAAATTCTTTATTTATAATCTTTAGAGATTTATGCAGATTCTCTATAATATTATTAAGATTATATTTGTAATTATATTTGTTGATTATTATATTACTATCTGTATTATAATAATTAAGAATTTTGATAAAAAAATTTACAATTTCTTTTAATTATATTATTAATTGTAAATTAATAATAAAAATTATAAACATGTTATAAAAATATATCTACTGTATAAATTTCAAATATTTAATAAAAATTGAAAAAATAATAATTAATCAAATTTTAATAAATTAATAAGATATTTTGATTAGAAATTATTAAATTAGAATAAAAAAAACATCATTTTAAAATTAAAAATATGGAAATTTCAATGTGTACTTTATATTATACAAAAATCTACAATATTTAAATATTATACCTAATGAATTTTCTAATATAACTTTAATAAAGGTGAATATCTCTAATAAAAAATATTTATCTCTAATAAAAAATAATTATTTCTAATTGAAATGACTGCTTTAATTTCAGATTACATTTTAATTATAAGTTATAACTTTAGATAATTACTTATTAAAATTTATTATTGTTTCTACTTTCAGAATTTTGTTATTTCAGATTAAATTTTTTTAAAATCCATTTAAAGATATTTTTACTAAGTCAAAAATATTTTTAAATTTTTTGTTTTATCATTGTATATAAATGTTTTTAAATTAATCAGTACTTCTTATTTTTTTACTTTTTTTTTAAATTTATTTTTATTAAAAATTAGAAATATTTGAATAATACCAATTAAATTTTAATTTTCTCATTATTTAAATTACTTAAATTACTTGAGGAAAAAAAAATTTTATATAATATTTATTACAAGTAAAATAATAATAATTTGTTATAATAAAAATAATAATTTCTAAATAAATAAATTATTGTAAATAAATTAATTTTAAATTTAATTAATTAAATATTAATTTGAATTGAATTTAACTTAATTCAAATTTTAATATTGTATATTATATATATATAAATTCAAATCTATAGTTATAACATTTTGTATTAAGTTAATTAATATTTTTTTTTATTCTTATATATCTTATCTAACTTATTATATACATTAATACTAATTTTGTAATTTTTTTCTATTTGAAACTTGAAATATTAAAAATAAATCATATATAATTTATATAAATTTGTTTTAAAATTAAATAATAATTTAATACCAATATTTTATAAATTAGAACTTAATATATTTATATTTATAGTCATGAAAAAAGTAATACACTATAAGTTTTTTTATTTTTAAAAAATTTTAAAACCTAAACAATAGATTTTAAAGTAATAGTTACTATACATATTTTAATCTTTAAGATTTAAGAAATTTTTTGAAATATTTTTTATATCAGATTTATAATTTCAATTTTGTATAAATAGATATTTAATATTAAGAATTATCACTTGATAAAATTTCAATTGTAAATAAAATTTCATACAAAATGGTTATAGTCAAGATAATTATATGGTGATATTCTATCTAAGGAAAATAGGCATATCAAATTTTATAACTATTGGATTAGTAGTTATTAAGAAATAACTCTTGAAAAATTGAAATTTACTAATAAAAATTTTTTTTAATTATTTTATTAGTAAAATTTTAATTTTCAAAAGTTAATTTCTTGATAATCATTAATTTAATTGTATAAAATTTGATATACCTATTTTTCTTAGGAAGGACTATTAACCCTATAATCATCTTGACTATAATTATTCTATATAAAATTTATTCACAATTGAAATTTTATTAAGTGACAATTCTCAATATTGAGTACCCATTTACGCAAAGTTGAAATTATAAATTTGATACAAAAAATATCTCAAAAAATTTTTCAAATCTTAAAAATTAAAATATGTATTATAACTATTTATTAGGAAATTTAATTAGATATAAATTTACAAAAATATTATATGACCTACAGAAATTTACACTTAAAAATTTTAATTTTTTAACTTCAGTCAAGATTTAAATGACAAGAAGTGATTTTTTACTAAGGTATTTCTAAGATAGATCAAAAGTTTCTGTTCTTGGTTACAAGATAATATATGTTTTATTATTATAGTATTGATATTCACAAAAAAATTTGTGTTTAAATTTGAACGTCCGTGAAAATTTATGCCATAAATTTTATAATTCTGCTGGAAATTTTTGTGATGTAATAAAAAATTTCTAATAGAATTATGAAAATTTACAGAAAATTTATGACATAAATTTTCACAGATATTCAAATTTAAACACAAATTTTTTTGCAAATATTAATGTTACAATAATAAAACATATATTATCTTATAGCTAAGAATAAAAGATTTCAATCTATTATAGAAATGCCTTAGTAAAAAATCACTCCCTGTTACTTAAATCCCAGCTGAAATTAAAAAATTAAATTTTTTAAGTATAAATTTCCATAGGTCATATAATATTTCCATAAATTTATATCTAATTAAATTTCTTGATGTTACTTTCAAATCTATTGTTCAGGCTCTAAAATTTTTAAAAACAAAAATCTTATAATGCATTACTTTCATAAAGTACTATATATTTATATGTCATAGTGCAAAATATACTTGTATATAAAATTATTTTGAAAATTTATTTAAAACCTGAAATTTTTTGATTATTTAAATAAATTTTTTGACTAGTTATTTTTTTTTACTTCCATATATAGAATAAATTCTATATAAATCTTAAAAAAAAACAAAATATCCTAAAATCAAAAATTAATTTTAAAAACATATATAGTACAGAATCTCTTAATCCAATGATTAGATTTTTTTATATTATAGTACTTGAATATATACGTATATTGAAATTTTTTTTTCATTTATGTAAATGTGATTTTAACCAATCAGAATTCAAGAAAATATATTTATGTGATTATAAATTTAAATTAATTTTATTTAAAATTTTAATAATTTTATTTCAAAGATTTGAAATTTTTAACCAATTAAAATTTTTCTATGTTATATATATAATATTTTAATTTTAAATAATATAATAAAATAATTCAACTTTATAAGTTAATAACTCAGGTAAAAAAAATTTTAACTAATAATTTTGAAAACTGTAATAAAGATCTATCAAAATTATTGGTTAGAATTTTTAAATATTTATGATTAATTATGTATTATAATAATTTAAAAAATTTATTTTTTTTTCTATTATAGAAATTCTATACTATAGTAGAAATAATATTTTGCTAGTGTAATTAGCATTAGAATAATTAGATCAATAGTTTATTAATTCAATTATCAAATTGCCAATTCAAATTATTAAATTTTAATTCAATTATAAAATTAATAATTTGAATTATCAAATTTTAATTATATTATTAGTTTACTAATTGTATTAGTAATATATTATAATTTGAGATAACTTTGATTATAATTTTAATAAACTAACAAATAATAAAGTATAGTGTTATTATTGTTTTGTTTAATAGTAATATTATTTGGTTAGAAATTAAATAATCTTTAAATTACTTATTGTTCATCTTACTTTCTTTAAATTTATCTTTTTTTCAAGTTATATTTAGAGTAAAACGAATTAACAAATTTTAATTTATTTTTACTTTTTCAATACAGATCCTAATAATATATCTTCTTACATTTCTGTGTCAAAAATTTTGTTTACTTTTTTTTCCATTTGACCAGTATATGTTGAAATTTGTATTTTCATTCAAAAAAATCAATAAATAAATTGAACTAAAAAAGACCATTTCAAAATGGAATTTTGGATTTGATTGGTTTATAATAAGGAAACAACACATATATATTATTAAACATGTATCATGTATTGGTATATTATGGGACATAGTTCTCTAAGATAACTGTGATATGTATATATTGCAAACACAAGTTGAATTTTAAGTATAAACTCAAGCTCACAGGTGTCATAATCACATGATATGACAAATACTTTGAACATTTGAAGAAATAAAAAAAAAGAACATAGTGCCTTAATTTTAAAACATTTAAAATAGAATTTAATAAGTAATCTGAAGTTAATTTCAATTTAATTTTTGTAATAAAAGGTGTTGTTCACTTCGCACTCGTAGAATTAGCATGAACTTATAGTATTCGTTGTTAATGAGAAACTTAAATGTCACGTGTTTATTGAAATTTTGACTGAAAAGATATTACTATTTCCATCAACTGCTTATCTTCATATCAAGAACATAAAAGCTCCCTAAATCGAGACCGCTTGTTATTTCAAATTATTTTATGTTGAGCGTTTTCTTAGTACATTATATTATAAGAATAACGTAACATGAGTTATAGAAGAACAACATTGTTTGTAGCTGGCTTTGGATCTCAGATTAGAGCTAGAGATTTGGCATATGAATTTGAAAGGTTAATAAAGCTTCATCATCACTAATTTTATCGTTTTTTTTTACATCTGATTAATATAACACTTGTTTTATTTAATTTAGATATGGTCGCCTAATTCGGTGCGACATTCCGGCACCAAGAAGTTATCAATCAAAACCGTAAATATTATTAATATTATTAATTTTTATGCTAATTTTTTTCTTGAAATTTATTAGAATTTTGGAGGTTTTCAATTTTTATCTCATCATTTAAATTTTTATTTTTGTAATTTCTATATAAATTTTGCCTATTGGATCAAAATAATGGATTTTAAAGTTATGCCTTCGTTGAGTTTGAGGATGAAAGAGATGCAGAAGATGCATATTATGAAATGCATGGTCGTAGAGTCTACGGTCATGCTCTAAACATTCAGGTGGCTGTCTTTTATTTTTTTCGTTATTATTATTTTTTTTTTTAAAAAAAAAAAATTCAAATTATTTATTTCATTATATATTTCATAGTGGGCTAAAAATGCTCCTTCGAGATCTTGGAGATATGAAGGTAGTAGCAGGAGTTCACCTCGCAGCCGCCGACGATCTTTAACTCCACCACGCTCTCATAGAAGGCGTCGTTCTTATTCTCGTTCTTTCAGTCGTTCCCGTTCTCGTGGTGGATCTCGTGGTGGATCTCGTGGTCGTAGTCGTTCGCCTCGTTCCGATGCACGTCGCTCTCGTACTAGAAGTCTTGAGAAAGAACGAACTAATGGTGAAGACGATAGAAGGTCTAGGTCTAGGTCCAGGTCCATATCGCCGAGAGAAGAAATCAAACGTGAATCCCGTTCTGCCTCCAGAGTTCGTGACGAAGCAAGGGATAGATCTCCAAGGGAGAGGACACTTTCACCAAATGGTCGCCCTGCGTCTCGATCATTGAGTCCACATCGTTCATCATCCCAAAGCCCTCATGGAATTGAGTAAGATAAAAAGTGGATGCCCAAATCATCAACAACACCATCTCTATATACGAAGAATACAGTGATTTAATACAGACTTATTTGCCATGTAAAATTTCTAAATATTTCAATTATTCCCTTTATAGCTTTAAGTTGCAAATGAATTTTATTAGCAATTATTTTTCCTTTCATTTCATTTTTATTATATATTTTTTTTAAAAAAAATTCTATTATATATGTCTTTGTGGGCGAGTGCGCACGTCTGGGGGGTTTTTTTTTTAACTTTGATGAAAGTTCTTGTTAATGCTTTATTCATACGATGCTTTTCAGATTAAATATTATCAACACGAGTTCTTTATTGGTTATTTTCAAATTTTAAAAGTGTGCAGCCTTCGGTCACGGATCGGAACGGTCGGTCGCAAGGTTGTACTTTTTCGCGGTTGGTTTCCAAATAGAAAAAAAACAACCTATATAAACGAGAATTTAGAACTTATCCTCTACTCAAACTGTAAACGGATATCCATACGACTCGAAATTCTTTCGAACGCTCTGTACTCCCAGTACAGTCGAGTCTCTTCCTACCCCCATCATATATCGCATACCATCCTACGACCACCGTTTCTCACAAGTGTTATAATAATAAAGTATATTGCTTATATATTTAGTTTCTAGTAAAATAATTTTCTAACAATGTCACATTCAGCATGGGAATTGTTATCTTCTTTCATATAATTCTTTGCGGGGCCCAATTCGATTATTTCACTAGTTCAACACTACCTTTAATTATCGGTGGAAGAATTAACCTTCCTGGACAACAAATCTCCCATCCAAACAAAAAAAAATTACTTGATATAAATATAAAATCATTACGTTTAATCCAAGATTCATTAGAAGAAATGAATAGTCCATACCAACGTTACGAGAAGGACTGTCATAATTATCTGGTATGAAATAAAAAAAAAAAAACCAACCTGGAGTATTAATCTTTGAAGAACTTATTTCATAGAATGTGTTTATGTCATTATAAAATGCGAGGGTGATACGAACATGCAACTAGTTTGCCATTCTCGCTGCCCCAACCAGTAATTGATTTTTCCTTACACTTCCGAGGATTTACTTAGATATATATACATTATAAATAATTTAAATTAATAAGTTTTAGATGTTTTCGAATTCGACAACCGCAAGGAAATGATGGATAGCAGTTAAGTAATTATTCGCTTTCTTTTGTGTTTAATTTTTTATTATGTAGGTATACATATTTGCATTTTGAAAAAATTTTGGGTTTAATAAAATATATTATCATCACACACATATATATATATTTTGGAATGCTTTTTTTTTTATATAAAAGCAAAATGTATATGAATTTGAATTAAAATACATTACAAATTGTTTTTATTTTGGTCAAAGAAATCATAAAGTATAAAAATGCACAATCTATAAATATTTTCGTCGCAAAAATAATAAAATTGAAAATTAAAATATAATTTATTAAGCCTTGCGTACACTGGATCTCTTTTTTTTGAGATCTGCCTTCCTTTCTTTTTGTTCTTTCACACGTCTAGCAAGCACTTTAGAATATTCCTCTGCTGCTATAATCGCTGCTTTCGCTCTTCTCCTTTTGAGAGCAATGCGATGACGTTTGCGTTGTAATGTCAGAGGAGTCACAAGACGTTGAATCTTGGGAGCTTTTGTATAAGGTTTTTTATCGGGATTTTTAGGTTTCACCTCACGCCGAATCACAAATTTACGAACGTCATCTTGCTTTGACAGATTCTTTAGGTCGAATAAAAAGCCGTTAACAAAAAAAAATTAACAAAACTGCATGTATTGAATAAGAATCTAAATAATGCATTAAGAATACGTACAAAGAATTTTCGAATCTTTGAAGCTCTTTTTGGACCCAATCGCTTAGGAACCGGATTATCGGTCAATCCGGGAATTTCTTGTTCACCTTTTTTTACTAAAACTAATGATAACACGGAAAGATCGCTTCCTACAATACAACCGCGAACAGATTTTCTTTTACGTTCTCCTGTACGACGAGGTCGGTAACAAGAATGTCCCTTTGACAATAAAAGTCGGACACGATCATTTCGTAAAACTCCTTGTTTCATAGGAAAACCTTGTTTGTCATTCCCACCAGTAATACGAAATACATAACCCTTAAATTCGTCTCCAAGAGAATCACCAGGTACTTCAGCGCTAATTCTTTTGTCATAAAAGGCACGACTGTTTAACATATGCATTGAAAAGTAAATTCATTAGAAAATTTTTAATTAACCATTTTTATGTATCTGTAAACGAATTAAAGGTCTAAAGAAAGTTCCAATATTTGGATCTAATAAAAATGCAAATTTTTTTCACTATACTTACAGCTTACGCTCGTCGTCGAAGTCGATTAACTTCTGACAACCGGTAGATGGGTTGGCAATATTTAACTGTCAATATATCAAAAACGTGATATAATTAACTTTTAATATAAATATTGCGATCAAAAGCTTGTTAAACTATAATAATTTAGAGTATCAAAAATTATGTACCTTCATGTTGGATAGATCGAAGAGAAGGCTTCGATTCTGAAAATTTTATCATAAAAAAAAATTTTTTTGATTTTTTCTTGGGTAACTTAGGTAACGTGTGACGATTTTTGATATCACCTGATGATCAGTCACGATGATCAGTTTAATGAAATTCTACAGTCAACTTGTTCAAATTCTATTGATCCGAATTTGCTTAAGAACCTTAAGAATCTGTAAATTTGTATTATTGTGATGATTGTCAATGCCCTTCCTAACAAAAATATAAAGCTTGAATTTTTTTTTTTTTTTGTCTTTGCCAAGGAATTATTTTATTATATGTTTTGCAAAATTGTATTTTATTGAGTGAGAGATTTGTTACACCAAATATTAAAGATTTGTAATATTTTGTGATTAATAATTAACTGTACTGTGATGTAAATTTATTTTTAGCACCTAGGAGCAATGAATATAATCATTATTTTTTTTATTTTTAAGAATTTGCAGGAATATCACTTCCAAAAATCAAACAATGTATGTTAATTAGCAGTGTATTTAATGTATAATTATATATTTAGAAGAAAGATAAATAATAATAACAAATAACAATAATAATCTGGAATCATAGCGTGAAAGGGGAATATATTTTGTTAGGGTTAATGGTAAATGGTAAATAATAAATAATTGTAAATGGTAAATAACGAAGTACTCATAAATATTCGTTTAATATTTATATAATATTTATTATATATTTTATATGGTAAATAAAATAAAGAAAAAAAAAAACAAAAAATATTTACAACCTTAATTAATGAGAATCGAACCAATGAATACTTTGTTTTTTTATTTCTTGCAAAACTCAACCTCAATGATAATATATGATTTATTGTATTATTTTTTTTTTAAAAAAAATGTGAAAGAAAAAAATGCGAAAAAAAATGAAAGAATCAGAAAATCTTATTATACATATTTAACATCTCCATAACGGTTATAACATTCATTTATTTATAATCATAACAATTTAATAAATTTTTTAACTAAAACTTTTTAATAACCTACAATGATTAATAACATTTTGAATGATTTTTATCAATAACTTAAATTTTTTTTTTTTAAATTTGTTGCGTTAAACCAATTATCATATCAGGCATATCAGTTATATGCCTTTTTACACCCGTCGATCTTCTTTTTCGTACTGAAATAATTTCTTGCGTTTGTAAATCTGAGGCCGACCTTTTGAGTGATAATCGTAATGAAGGTGACGGCGATGATGACGAAGACGAAGACGTAGACGAAAGTGATGGAGAAGTTAGGTACTGATGATGAATAGGTGGTGATGGGGTTGATGTATAATGTGTCACGTGATTATCTTCCATTGAGTCCACGTGATTTGTTGGAATAAATTGATTATTTGAGAAATGAACAGGAATCGCATTGGTTGGAGTAGGTGAGACAGTAAATTGAGGCTGAAAATGGTGATTATGATCATGTGGCGATGGGTAACCAATATATGCTGTTTCATTTCCATAAATATCAACTTGACCAAAATTATTTATTTCATTGTTACAAGAATTATTATTTAAATGATGATGATGATGATGAGCTGAAGTTAATGATGTTAATTGAGGTTGTTCCATCCAAGTAGTAAATTGATTAAGAAAATTTGCAGCATGTGAAAGATTCATAGCTCTCGCTCTTCGAGTATTTTCCATAAATTTGATAATTCCATGGCAATAATCTGTATCGTCTTTAAGAAAAAAATATATAAAGAATATATAAAGAATATAAATAAAAAATATAAATGAAAAAAATATATTATAAAAATAAATATTGAAAAATTATAATATTAAAATATTATACATACTTGAATCAAATTCCAAATTATGTTGTGGAGTACTTTTTCCACTTTCGTCACTTGTGGTAGAAGAAATCATAGAAGGAGTTGGTGGTGTAAGGTTAAAAATTTCCAAAGGATGATTATGATTATATAAAAGATGAATTTCACAGGGATGAGAAAGGATAAGTCTACTTTTTTCTAATCGAATTTTTGCTAAACATTGACAATTGGTATTTCGACTTCTTCTTTGTCCAGCTTTTTGTGCATAAGTTTTTTGCATATATTTAATAGCTGCAATATCTGCATGTCTACAATGAAAATCTTTATGATAGATAACTTTTATTCCTTTTACTTTATCGGCTCGAGTAATACGAAAGATGGTACCAGTTTTATTATGAAATGCTGTTCGCCATTCTTCAATGGCTTCAGCTGATGCGATATTTACGTAAAATGTAGAATCAAAAGCAGCAGGTGGTGCACCAGGAAAATTTTCGAGATCTAATTCTTTATATGATTTAATAATATAAGTATAATTATCGGGTAAAACTTGTTGTAAGAAATGTGGTAATTGTTCATGAGTGCGAGGAGTAGTTCTACTTGTAGTATCAGTTTTATTCTTCATTTTTAATTGAAGACGTTTTTGAAGTTCAAGACGAGAAGATGATGAAGAAGGAGAAGAAAGATTATTATCATTAGAAGTCATTTTTATGATATATATTTTTTTTTTATGATTTTATATTTATTTTATTTTATTTGATCGAAATAATCGAAATAAAAAAAAAAAATTATTAGAAAATTATTTATTAACGGAATAATAAGAATAATTATTTTATTATTATTTATTTTTAAATTTTTATTTTTTGAAGTTCAAAAGAGAGAAATTGAACGAAGAAATAAAAAAAAAAACAATCGCGCTTCCTTGTATATTTATATAATTTTGAATTGAATTTTATTATTTAATATATTAATTAGTAATCTATTGTTTTTTTTTAATGATTTTAGCGAATATTAGTTGGGGGTGAAAAGATAATAAATACATTAAAAAAAACAGATAATAATAATATAAAAAAAAAAAAAAACATATAATATAAATATTTTAAAATAATAATAATCAATAATTTTATTTATTTATTTTTTTTGTTGATTAAAACTGGTGGCTGTACTATATGTAAATATCTTAAATTGGAAATTCTATTTTTAAAAAGTTAAACGTGTTTTGAAGTTGAAATTCTGCTCTAAAACGAGAAAATTCACTAGTTATTCGTGAATAAATAAAATAACATAAATAAATTATTATCAAAATTTTTTTGATAAACTATGTATTTGATAAATTGATAAATTGTAAAATAATTAAAATAATTAAAATAATTAAAATAATTATTTTTTTTTTGATAGACCGTAGATAAACTATAAAATTGTTTGTTATTATTACAGTGGAATATTTATAATAATAAATTTAATAAATTTATAATTTACTTCTTATTTTTAAAGTAAGTATGTAATAGTTTATACTACAACATTTGAAATATTCGCTAAAAATAGAAAATGTTTAAGTTCCTTTTTTTTAAAAATAACTCGAGAAACCGGTTTATCTCAATATTTTCGAGTTTATATTTATCCTCAATAAGTCACGAAAAGTAACATTTAGTCACATTTCCTCTATTTTATCACTAAAATATGTTATTGATGTAGGGAATTGATGTAGGATTTCTCAAAGAGGTTTTTTGATTTTGATTCGTGAAACCTTTATTATTTTTTATTCAACTCGGAAAGTTTGTTTTTACTATTTTGTTTCAGTTTTTTTGTTCTTTATTATACCTCAAGAAATCAATAAACAACAATAATAATAATAATAAAAATAAAAACAAATAAATAATAAAATAATGTCCGTTTGGCGTAGTTTGAAGGTTGGACCAGAAGAGTTAAGACTTGATACAACTTTAAAGAGTGGTCAGGCTTTTAGGTGGAAGTTATCAGCTGAGAACGAATGGTTGGTTAATAATAAATAAATAATTATTAAATAATTATTATTTAAAATTTAAATATTAACAATAACAATAATAATAATAATAATAATAATAATAATAATAATAATATAATAATAATAATATAATAATAATAATAATAATAATAATAATAATAATAATAATAATAATAATAATAATAATAATA